TGCACCCGTCTCGGGGCACAGCTGACATGCTCCTCCTCCCCCAAGTAGCGGTGACCCCTCCCCTTTCCAGTGCCCAGGACACCGCTTTTAGGACCTACATCACTTTCTCCCTCAGACTGTCTGAGCTGATGGGATTCTCAGACCATCAGCACTGACCTCCATTGTAAAGAGGAGCAAACCGAGGCTCAGAGACGGGGAGAGATGCTCCCCAGGCCATAAAGCAGGTCTGTTGGCAGAAACAGGCTCAGTCAGTCCTCCATCGCTGGTTCCAGCCCCGTGCCCTGGGTACTCACCTGCATACGCTGCCTCTCCATCAGGGGCTCCTTGGGACAGGGCCGGGGACAGGGAGACTCAGGTTATGCCCTCAAATGCCCAGAACCTCATTTTGCCACTTGTCTTGCAGACACATCGCCCCCATCACCACTGAGGTTGGAGACAATGGGAGATCCTGGCAGGGTCTGAGAGGATCAGAGAGACCCTGGGACCAGAGTCCACTGTGGGGAGCAGGGGAGCTGGTGGCTGTCCCCACAGATGACTCACCTGGTTCCATGAGTACTTGCAGCCAGATTTCTATCTCTCCTCCTCCTTGAAGCCCTTCCCCACTCTTGGCTCCAGACCATCTCCCCACCTGGGGCAGGAGGGCATGGGCAGGGAGCACAACACCTCCTTTGAGAAGTCTGCCCTGATTGCCTCAGGCTGGGTGAAATGCCTCCTCTGTGCCTCCCAAGGCTTTGCCCTCCCCAGCCTGCCCCACAGGACCCTGCAAAAATTGGCCATCTTACACTGTTACTTTGTAAGAGAGACCTCTACAGCCAGAAGGAGTTTAAATATTCTGGGAAGAACATGGCCTTGGGAGTCAGACAGGCCTGGGTTCAAATCCAGTCTCTGCCGTGTGGCCTTAGAAGGGTCACTGCCCTGCACTGGGCCTTGGCTGCCTCCTTTGAGCAATGAGGACATGTGATGGGGAGGGGAGAGTCACCTGCTAGGATGCCCCCCCACCAGTGACAGCTGAACACCAGGAATGTGGCTTGTTGAAACGGAGATGTACTGTAATCGTGTCAAATTCATTCTGGATTTCCAAGACTTAGCACAAAAGCCAATGTTTAAGATATCTCATTAATCATTTTTATTACATGTTGAAATAATTTTTTTGATATCTTGGGTTAAATAAAATACATGATTAAAATTAGTTTCATCTGTTTAAAAAAATTTTTTTTTAACTTTTTAAATGTGGCCACTAGAAAATGGCAATTGTCCACGTGTGCCTCCCAACCCTGGCTTGCATTCTGGTTCTCTTGGACAGCGCCCTCTAGAGGACCGTTACTGGGATGGGGGGAGGGGTCGTCCCTCGAGTGGGTTTGGGAGTTAGAGGGCCTGGTCAAGGACTCAGGACCTGGGGCTTGACCTTGCTGTCCCCTGGCTGCTGTGTAACCCCAGGCCAGACATCGCCCCCTCTGAGCCTTGCTTGCATCAGTAAAAAGAACCGGTGGGCCAGAATTGGGTTTTCAGTTTGGGGGTGCCCGTGGGCAGGGGAGATGGAGGCTTGGCCCCTCTCCAGGTCCCCCGATGGAGTCCCCATCCAAGGAGAGCCCATCTCTGCCCTTCGTGCCACCCATGAGACCCCCACATACCTGTTGGCAGACATGCTTCCTCTACGCACGCACACATCTCTAGGTGGGGGAGAAGCGGGGGCAGCTTCGAGGGCCGGCTCCACCCTTCCTAGTCTGTGACCCAAGCAGCCGTGGACCTCCTTTCCCCAGGTGCAGGAGGGAAAATGGTGAGCACTTCCTGATTCCTGTGGCTCAGCAATGGCACCTGGAGAAGGTCACAACTGTGTCCCTTTCATTGTCCCTTAGCCAGCCAGGTTCCACTGCTGGCCGCTTTGGATCCAACTCTCCTCCTTCCCTCTTTGCAAAGGCCACTGGGTCTGGATCAAGGCAAAATCCAGCCATCCCAGGACAGGGGGCCAAGCGCTCATTGTGATCCCCTCTGAGCCCCTCCTGGTGGCTCAGGGCCTCCATGGCCCCCGCAGTCCTGCTTGGGCTGGCAGGTTGGCATCAGGGAAGGTGAGGGGGGTGCGGCCTGGCCCAGGACACTCAGGGTGGGAACCTCTTGGCTCTGGACGATGCTCCACCACTGCCCAGTCATATCTGTTCATTCGTTCACTCAACGAGTTTTTATTGAGTACCTACTAGGTGCCAGGTACTGTTCTGGGAGCTGGGGATATATCAACAGATAAAACAGGCACAGTCCCTCCTCCTGGGAGAGCAGACAATAAACATAAAACAAGTGTATTCGCAGTGCTGTCCAGGACAGTAACCATTACCCACAAGTGGCTATTTGTTTAAATGAGTTGAAATGAAAAATTTAAAATTCAGTTCCTCATTCACACTAGCCACATTTCAAGTGCTCAGTAGACATACATGGCTGGTAGTTTCTGGATTAGCTCAGATATAGATTTTTCCTCATCACAGAAAGTCTGTCAGACGGCACCAATAATGTATTGGGAGGGAAGAGTGATTTGAAGCACTGGCTTTGGGTGAGAGATGCAATTTAAATGAGGTAGTTAGGGTACGCCTCCTTGAGGAGGTGATATCTGAGCGGAGTCCTGAAGCAGAGGAGGTTGGGAGCTATGTGGGAATCTGGGGGCAGGAGGAGAGTGTTCCAGGCAGAGGTAATACCAAGCAAGTGCAAAGGTCCTGAGGTAGGATCTCAACTGGAATGTTCAGAGGACAGCAAGGAGGCCATTGTGGTGGGAACAGAATAAGCAGGGGGAAAGCTGAAGCTAGCGCCGGAGGGGACGGGCCCGAACACGGAAGGCCTTCCCTCTCATGGTAAAGGCTTTGGCTTTTGCCCTCAGTGAGAAGACACGGCAGGACAGTTTTGAGCAAAGAAGGAGTCAGGATTGGTTTGTGTTCTGCCAAGATAACTCTGGCCAACTGGCTGCAAATATATTGTCGGGGAGGACAGGTGGCCACAGGGAGGCCAGTGAGGAGGCCGCTGTGCCATTACGGGCTGGAGGCTGGCCCAGCGCGGGGGCAGTGGAGGCCGGGGTGCGGTTCTGGAGACGCTCGGGAGGCAGCGTCCACGGGGCTCCCTGCAGACTGAATGTGGCCTATAAGAGAGGGTGAGGGGGGGTCAAGGACGGCTCTACAGGTTGGGGCCTGAGCACCCGGCAGGCAAAGGCGGGCATGGGAATAAGGACAGTCCCGACTTTCAGATCAACCGCACGTGAACGCCCCTCACACCTCACGGGGCACATGTTCAGTATCTCAAACAGCCATTCATATTAAACAGGCTTTGTTTACGGGACAGCGGCCGCTCCTTCCCGACCTCACCAAGTGTGGGAAGCCTCCAGGAAGCGTCTCACGAACCTTTAACCTCAGGGATTAGGGACCTTGCTAACTTTCTCTTAGCCCAGAAACCAGTTCCTGGAGTCAAGCTCCACATGGAAACCTGTGTGTAGAGCAGGAAAAGCAGAAGCTTCCAGATGGAGGTGCTTGTCAATCCTGATGCTCCCAAAGCCCTTGGAATCCTGGGGAGGGGCGAGAGGCAAGTGGCCCCAGAGCAGGACCCCTACCTCCCAGCCCAGGGCTCCCCGTTCCTCTTGCCCCACGCTGCGCATGCAAGCAGACATACAGGAGGGACCCCTGGGGCTGGGTGGTGGCTCGTCTGCCGCTGCGGGCGGGGGGGGGGGCACCCTGCAGGCTGCAGCATCCAGGAGGGAAGGGGATGGGAGGATTGACGGACACACATTCCCTGGGTGACCTGCCCATTGCCAGGCGTCTTTCCAGGGCGAGATAATCTCTCCTGAGAAGAGGAAAGAATTCTAATTACTTCTCAGGACAATATTTGTTTGGAGAGAGGAGAGACAGAACATATGGTGGGGAGGGGCACGGGCCACATTAAATGGGGATTTGTTTTCTCATTTACCTGGTGACGTGGGGGTGGGGGGTGGCGGGTGGGCGGGGCTCCTGCTGGGTCCTGGTGGGGCAAACCACCTGCCCTGGGATTTTCCTGGGGAGCTGGGCCTTGCGGGGGACGGGAAGAAGATGTGGCTCCCACCGCACCCTGGGGGCCCTCCAAGGATGGACAATGTTCAACCGGTTCAGCGCGCACAGAGCGCCTGCTAGGTGCTGGGAGCCGCGCGGCCAGCCAGAGCTCCAGGTCCCTGTTCTCAGGGAGCTCGGGGGGCAGTGTGTGCAGTGAACGGATATGTGGTCTGACCGGGCGGGGGGGCAGGAGGTTGGGGTGAGGGGGGTCCTGCCCTGGGTGGTCAAGGAAGGGGCCAAGTTAGAGCTCTGAGTGACTTGAAGGGGCCAGCTGGGTGAAGAAAGACCAAGGATAGAACGTTCCAGCCACTGGGCACAGGGCAAAAGTGAGGGGAAGGCGAGGCATGCGCACAGGACAGAGAGGAGATCAGGGGGCAGTGGGCGGGCCCCGACCCCTAACCTGGTGGGCTTTATCCCAGGTGCAGTGTGGGGAGCCAGGGCAGGTTCTGAGCAGGGGGTTGGCCTGGCCCGACTTGGTTTTACAAGGACTGCGGCGCTGGGTGCTGTGTTCTGGGCTTGGGAATAACCTGGGAGGGAGACCGGTGGGGGTGACTAGAAAAATCTGGAAGACTTGATGAAAACCACAGCTTCCTCCCTGGCCTCCAGGGCCTCCGTGCTCATGCCTTCCAACCCAGCCCTCCTCTGATCCCTCACTGCCCTGGGTGGGTCTCCCGTGGCGCCCACGGACTCCGGGATAGAAACCCAGCTTGTGTGGGGCCCTCAGGGCCCTGGACCTGCCCCGTCGCCCCATGTCTTGCCCTCTGCTGTCGCACACCTCTTGCCTGGCCTCACTGAGCCCCTCCGGAGGCCCCACCTGAAGCCAGGCCATCCCCCTGCCCCCCCTAGCTGCTCCCACTCTCCCCACCCCTCCCGGACCCGCCAGCCCTGCGCCCATGGGCCCTGCAGGTTCCTGAGCCCCGGCCACTCCTCCCCCCTTTCTCCACACAGCCCTGTTCACAGAGACGCCCCACGACATGACGGCACGGACGGGCGAGGACGTGGAGATGGCCTGCTCCTTTCGTGGTAGCGGCTCCCCCTCCTACTCGCTGGAGATCCAGTGGTGGTACGTGCGGAGCCACAGGGACTGGACCGACAAGCAGGCGTGGGCCTCGAACCAGGTACCGCCCCTGGGGAGACCCCCGAGCTGGGCTGGGACCACCCTGGTCCCCGGGAGTACGGACGTTTCTCCGCCCTCCGAGCAGGAGGCAGAGCTAGGCTGAACCTTTGGGATGGCCACGTCCCTCCCGTCAGTGTACAGGTGGGGAAACTGAGGCCAGGGGTTCCAGGCAAGGCGGACAACCCAGTCACTGCACACACACTCACTGGAGCGGCTACCGTTGGTGTCCTGCGCACACCTGCCACCAGCCCCACGGCCAACTGCCAACTCCACCTCAGAGTTTTCTCTGGGTGACAGCCTGCTGGCTGGCAAGGCAGCCCAGCAGTGACGGACAGAGCTGGAGGATACGTCCCCCAGCGGCCTCGCCCGCAGCTGGGGTGATGGGAGAGCTCCGCATTCTCTCCCTCAGGGGCCCCACCGCCCGCAGTGGTAGCTGGCTGGATAACAGGCACACTACTGACTTCCTCCCGCCCACTCCCCTCCTGACGTCCCCTGGGATCCCCTCCCAGGGAGACTAATTGCACTTGAACCTTTGTCTCAAGGTCGGCTTGTAGGGAACCCAAACGAGGTCACTTCCGTTCTTACACTGGGGTAAATGCAAGTAATATACGAACACATGCCGATCTGCCCGCCCATTCACGTATGAACATGTACATTCACACACCTGCACGTGCACACACGGGCGTGCTCGCACATCCTTCCGTGTTCATGAAATAGCCTCTAACATGTTCACAGATACATAGTAAAGATTTTATTTATGTATTTATTAGAGAGAGAGAATGCACACAAGCAGGGGGAGTGGCAGGCAGAGGGAGAGGCCGGCTCCCCGCTGAGCAGGGAGCCCGATGTGGGGCTCAGTCCCAGGACCCTGAGATCATGACCCGAGCCAAAGGCAGAGGCTTAACCCACTGAACCACCCAGGCACCCCTCACAAATGCATATTAAATTCTGTCTTGCTCCTGGGGGTGTCAACTCTCCAACACTTGCAGCCTGCCTCACAGGGCTCAGAGGACTCTGGGGGCTCAGAGGAAGCCCCGAGGCAGAGACCTGCAGATTTTTTGCAGTTGGCAGCATCAGGGGTCAGCCTTCAGGGAATAGTACGTGGGCAGGACTCTGACAGGATTTGCCACAAACACACGATCATGGGTGTGATACACCTAAAAACGCAAACACGTTCGCAGACGGAGACCCAAGTGTAGAGACAGACATTCTAACAGGCACAACAGGCAGATCCCCCACCCCCACAAATCCCCAAATACCCACATATCTAAATGCACAGCACGTGCCGCTTTACAGGAATCCTCTTCATTGTCCTTGGCTCTGACTCACCACCCCCACCCCCACCCCGAGGGGACACTGAGGGATGCCCAACTCTGGACCCCGAAGCCTCACTTGTCACAGCTACTATCTTAGTTATTGTCCATACTCGCACCCCATGATGCTAACGCCTTGTCTCTGCTCTCTCTGCCCCTCCCGCTCCCTCCCAACAGCTAAAAGCATCTCAGCAGGAAGACACAGGGAAGGACGCCACCAAAATAAGTGTGAGTTTTGGTAATGACTTCTTGCAAGGGCTCTAATGGAGGACACAGCCGTAATTTAAAAAAAAGGGGGGGGGTCCAGTTCAGCTGGGAGCTTGGGCATGAAGATGGAGAAGAAGAAACAAGAAATGGGGAAAAAATCAGCCTCGTTCTGTTTTTTAAAAGATGCAGATTTTTCAAGTTCATTGAATGACAGGCATCAAAAATGACAGGGAGGAGAGAAGACGCATTCAGTCCTGTCAGGGCCAAGGCTGTGTGTGGCCCGGGTGCTTTGTGGCTGTCTCAGCAGCATTTTTAATTTGGGGAACCAATAGGGTCTAATGGGACTAAGCTGGCTTTTTTCGGCCCATCATGACTGATGGTGGTGGCGTGTCAGGGTCACTTGGGTCATGTGGATCCCGGGGCTGAGGTGGGGCGGGGAAACTACAGCTGAAGGATTTCAGGACTGGCCCTGTCTTCTCTGCAAGGACTCATTTTATCCATTGGTACAAGTCTGTAGGGAATGGCCAAGCATTCACCCGTTTTAAATGTAGGGCAACTGAGGCTTAGAGGGGTCAAAGATTTGCTGGAGGCCATGATGTGGCTGAGCTCCCTGTCTTCAGGGCTTGAGCTCCTTGTCTCCAGACTCTTCTGGGGCCTCTGTGGGGACCCAGGGGACTCAGGGAGTGCCAGGTTTTGCGGAGGAGGGCTGGATCGGTGCGGGAGGCATCGGGTCAGCCCGGCAGGGGACTAGTCAGTCCACTAGCAACATCAGAAATGCAGGTGCCCACAGGAGTATGAGTGTGTATGTGGGGGGAGTGACTTCCAGATTCACTCTTTTCTGCTGATTCTTCCACAACTTTGCAAGGGTTTGTGAGGGAGCTCCGGACCCCAAGGCCAATGAGACACAGATGCTCAGAAGAGCCTGGCCCCAGAGCAGAAGTCACAGTGCAAAGAGTGGGCACCAGCAGGTGTGGGGGGTGCCATGCTGGGCAGTGAAGATGGGGAGAGAGGAGGCAGAGAGGCCAGGGAGGAGGCTCCCGCAACTACCCTAACAGGAGGTGGGCAGATTAGAGAACGAGGGCCTTTAAAGCAACATTCGTGCAGTCTGCCCAAGGCCCTTCCCAGCCGGGGTCTGGAAATTCAAGCCACTTCCAGATTAGGGCAGCTGCAGCTCCCCCTACACCCCTGCCCCTCACCTTTACCCTCTGCCAAGGGCACATCCATGGGCAGTGCCCCCATTCCTTGTCCAAACACCCACCACTTAAACCTGGGTAGGTAGAGATCTGTGAATATATTTATATACCTGCAACTCTCCCATGATTTGGGGGTTTAAGGAGTGTCTCAGGCAAAGGGAAGAATAATCTAATTGACTTAGAGGATTAGAATTCGAGGCTGCTAGGCCCCACGTGAGGGGAATGTGAAGATGCTAATTAGTTAAATAAAATAAATGTGCTCAGCGTGATTGTGCAATCACTCCCCACCCCCAGCCCCTGAAATTCCTACACCAGCTGGGGTTCCGGGGGTCTGGTGAGGAAACTCTCACGCAGGCAGCAACTACCTCCTTGTTCAGACGGCGTCACACACACGACAGTTCTTAAATATACAGACACGGAGTTAGCTGACACCTGGAAACAAATGCACAGCCCGGTTTCCCGCAGGCTAGAAGGCTCAAACTTTTCTCCATGGCCTTCAAGGCTCCGCTCAACTCATTCTGCTCACCCTCTGGGCTGTCTAATCTTGCTTGGCCTGGCTCCCTCTCTCCTCCCAACTCTGGCTGCTTTTCCACCTTCCCATTCCTGCCCGCCTCCTGGCCTTTGCATGGGCCAGTTCCTCTGCCCAGAAAACTGTTCCTCTCTCTAACTTCAGAGCTCAGCTTAGGACGCCTCCCTTGACCCCATGGCTCAGCCAGCACTCATTTCTATGCTGGCTGCATTTCCACGTGCAATAATCCCTGTGTGTATTTGTTTCATATCTGTCCCCCCACGCCCCCAGACTCAGTGGGGCTGGCACTGTGCCTGCCCGATGAGCTGTTGCATTTCCAGAGCCTAGTACAGTGCCTGGCACCTAGTAGGTGCCCAATAAATAATTGAATGACTGTCACACACCCAGGCCAACAGTGGTATAAACCCAGACATAGATTTTGGTACACAGACATGCCAACATGCTGTGCATCCGTGCCTGTATGTGTATGTATGCAGGTGAATGAAGGCACAGGGTGGCTCATGGGGGGCCACGGAGCCTAGAACCCAGGCTCTGTATCTGTAGGAGCCAACTGAGCCAGGCAGGAATTCGGCCCAGTAGCTCCATGTCTTCTAAAAGTCCTGATGGCGATGGGCAGCTCCTGATTTTTAACTGTCGGGACCTACTTTGAAAAACTCCATGGGAGCTGAGCACGTGTCGTGTACTGGTGGGGTGGCATGGGGGCTGTAGGATCCCAGGGCCTGGGGGCTTCCTGGAGCCTGGGGCAGGAGGGCTCCGTGTGACCTGTTGGAGCTGCCAAGGTAACCCTGGGAAGGATCCGAGTAGGCAGTGCTGAGGACACAGTGGGGCCCAGAACCTCGAATCCCTGAGCCAAAACACCTTGTAAGCTGGGAAGTCCTAGAGATCGGCCATGTGAATGACAGCGGTTACTAAAGTGAAAACTTTTCATGAATTTGTGAATCACAAGACTCCTATTCCCTGCAGGCAGGGGGCAACTGGAGCATGAAACGGGGCCCAGCTTCTCTGCAGGGAACAGATGAGGGAATGAAAGAGCTCAGCATCTTGTAGGGAGATTGGTTATGTAGTAGGACAGGTATCTGTGATAAAATAATAATAGTAATAATGCAAGTAACATTTATTGAGTGCCTGCCATATGCCAGGAACCATGATGAGCAAACTTTACATGAATTATCTCATTTCACTTGGGACCTGGGGAAGGATCCCTGGCCTAAAAACATCTCCCTTGGTAGCTTGCATGTGCTGAGGATTTCACCTTCGGGACCTCATTTCTGTGGCTCAAGCAGAGCTGTTTTCAAGTTCTGGATGTTTTTCTTTGGATCTAACTGAAGTTCTTTGTTTTCAAGTTTAGGTGAATTTCCCCTTAACCAATTTTGCAAGCAGCGTTGACTCTCACCTTCTTAATTTTAAAGCAAGCTGAAATCCACCCCACCCCCACCCCCAGACCTTCTTTACCTGCCTTCATCATGTTAACTGCTTTAGTGGGAAAGAGTCCTGGGCCACCTGAGTCCCCAGATGCATGTGGCCCAGTGCTCTGGGCCCGCTCATCCTAAAGCCTGTATGCCTTCCAGCCAAGCCCCCAGAAGCCACGTACAGCCCTGAAGAGGCCTCAGGAAGCATTAGCAGCCCCGCTCTGGGATCTCTGTGAAACCCCCATGACTGGTTATAAGACTGTCCCATTTGTTAGATCAGTCAAGCCCCTGCCAACCCTGCCCAAATGCTCCGTGTGTGTGGTGCACGTGTGGACACTTGGTGTTTTTGGTGGAAGGCTGGGACAGCTGGAGCGGTGCATGAGGTCTGCATCCTTCACAAGGAAGTAACAGGCCAAGTGGTGGCTCACGGTTCACTATGATTTTTATTTTCTGCTCTGGATGTTTTTCTCTTAAAATTCCTGCAGTGGTCCACAATATACACAAGGCATGAAGTTCTGAGCTCCTCCAGGGAGGTGAGAGTCACATGGAGCCAAAAATCACTCCATCTATGTCAGGAATGCCCAAAACATCCTAGAGTGGTCAGGGACCTCGAAGATGTCTCTCGGAGGCCATGGTCACACATGCCCAGTCCCCGTCTCCAGGTGCTCCCAGGCCAGTGTGGGAGATGGATGTTGACCATGATCATCACCCAATCATCACCCATGATAAAAAGTAAAATGACAACTGTGACCATCAAAATGAGGATTGCTGCCTGGGGGTCTGAGCCAGTAAGAGAGGACCTGGGTCTGGAGGGCTTCCTGGAGGAGGTGCTATTTAAAGCACTGAAGTATAGAGCGTTGACTAGGAGCGGGGGATCTTGGCTGGTATGTGTTGGAGGAACTGTAGGAGGCTGGTGTGGCCAAGGGGCAGGTGTGGGGATGAGACCCCGAAGGGCTTGGTCAGCCCCTGCTGGGAGTCATCAAAGGAAGGGCCCTAAGTTGGGGGCATTGTGTAAAGATCTGTCTGGCTGTCATGGAGAACAGATCGGAAGGGGCCACAGTGGCTTTGGGGAGACTCGGAGGAGCCTGGGACGATGACCAGATGGGAGAAGCTGGGACCCTAGTCAGTGCAAGGTGGCTGGACTCTGGAGGAAAGGGGAGGGGTCCAGTGATGTGCAGAGGGAAGATCCATGGAATTCTGGAATTGACTGTGCTGGAATGCACGAGGAGCAAGGGCAGTGATGACTTGGAGGGGTCTGGTTGGAGTGGGTGAGGCCTTCTGGGGTCCAGATTCAGAGTTGGATTCTGAACACACGGGGGGTTGATGGTGAAAGTGTCTGGGTGCTGCTGATGGAGGCCTAGGAGTGGCAGAGCTCAGAGCAGGCCCTGGCCTGGGGTAGGGACCACCTGACCCCTACTCCTCATCCCAGGCCACCTGGGACAGGCCACCCTGTCCCTCGTGGGCTCAGCCATGAGTCAGCATGTAGGAGAGAGGTCTGGCACCGCGGACATACATCAGCATCACTCATTCTTCCCGGCCTGGCTCTGGCGACAGACCCCAGCCTTGAGGGCCCTGGGGTGCCCCTGCCGTGTCCAGAAAGGCCCGGGCCATGGGCGAGCAGGGAGGAGGCTGAGCTTGGTCATGGCATGGACTCTCCGTGTCTCTTTCAGCGTAATTAGGTGCTTAATTGCACTGCTAAGGCCTGTCGATGCCTGTGCCGAGGTGATTATGATTTACAGCCAGGCTGCGGCGTGGGGTCTCCTCTCCTTCTGGCCTCTCCGGTCTCACTGGACGGTTGGGCCATACCGTTTTCTGCCCAGTTTGTGAATGAGGAAATCCAAGAGGCTGCTGCCTCCAGCCCCAAGAAGCTGGGACAGGATGTTGGGCCCCCTCCCATAGGTATGCCTCTGAGGATGGGCTGGGCTCCCCCCAGACAAGGAAGGCTGGGGACTTAGGGAAGGGGGTAGGAGCGGGTGCAAAGGTAGCCCTGTGGTTTACTGGTCATGGGAGGCTCGCCAGATGTGTCTGTCCCCAGCTGGGCGGCCGTGGGCCCGTCACTTTACCTCTCTGAGCCTCAGTTTCCTGACCCATACAAAGGGTATCCTGGCAGGGCCTGTATCAAGGGGTTACTGCAGGGCTTAAACAAGATGTGTGAGGCTTTTAGCACATCACCTCACAGTGATCGAGTGCTCTGTAAACACTGGCCGGTCTTACTGCTGTTGGGGGTTTATTTGCCTTCTCTGGATGGTGCTTCAAGGGATAGACACCAGGGCGAGAGAGAGCAGTGTCTCATGCGTGAGTCTCCCCAAGGTGCCGGGTTTGGTGTGGGGTCTGGTTGTCTGGTAGTCCATGCAGGATTGCTGGGGTCTGGCCGGTTCACAGCTGTGACCCCAGCACCCAGCTCAGAGCGGGCGCCTGCTGAATGTCCGCCAGATGCATGAGGAGTCCGTCCCAAGAGCCTGGGTGCTGGTGACTGGTCCGGGTCAGACCCAGCCTCCCAGCACGCATCCCGACTCCCTCCTCTCCTCTCCAAGGGGAAGGGCTCTTCTTCTGAAGGCCACCGTGTCTGCTGGCAGAGGGGGCGACAGGGTCAGGGGGCTGGGGGTGGGGGGCGCAGACTGCTTGGGGAGGGCCGGTCCAGGCCTCGCCTCGGGTCTGGGGGCGGAAGGGGTGGGCTGCGTCTGGTGCTCCCTCCCTAGGAGCGGCTGCTCCCAGCGCTTCGCATTATTACTCCATTAGCGCCTTGTAGGGTTGACAAATGAAGGATAATTAATATCCGTGAGGGAAACAGATGTTGAGGTAATTCGCTCCCCGCTGTGCATTTGCAACAGCATCTCCTAAGTCGCCCGAGAGCATGGCAGGGCCACAGGGCCTCCCTGTGCCCTTGGTCAGAGGTGATGGAATCAGCGGGGCCTGTGGCCTCCAGCTGGGCCCAGCCCAGAGCTGGGCAGGGAAGGCTGGCTCTAAGCCCCACACCAAGAGGGGTGGCTGGGAGAGCTTCCCGCTGCTTCCTACTGGGAGCTCTGCCTGTGTCCCCCCTTGTGCCTCCTGCTCTATCAGAAGCCCACATTTTCCTGCTTCGTGGGGGTGATGGCCAGCTGGAAGGCTCATACGGGCCAGGCTCCTTGCTGTTGCCCACCCACCTCTCCTCTTCCCTTCTGGAGGCTGGGACGCGGCCCCTCTGGCCCTGCCAGCACTGGGTGACCATGGATGGACCGGTCGCGCCATTTGGAGAGGTAGCGTGCATGCAGTCAGGCCTGGGTTTTGTTTCTAGCTCTGCCCTTTGCTGACTCACTGCCCACGGGAAGCCCCTTCTCGTTCCTGAGACTTCATTTCCCCATCTGTAAAGTGGGTATAGAGGTGTGTATGTGCCTCAAATTAGAAAGAACGATATCTCCACTTCATTTGAAGAAAGAAGGACCTAGAGTGAGTCCACTCATTCAACGAATGTTGTCATTGTCATTTACAGGGCACAAGGCCCTGGATGGTCATTGAGATGAACAAAATGGGTATCATCCTTGCCCTCATGGTGTTTACAGTTTGGCCAGGGAGAGAAACAAAAATCAAGTCAACAGACAAATAAATGGTTCTCAAACTGTAATGACTGCTATGAAGAAGATAAACAGGGGGTTGTGATGGAGGGCTTCTCGGAGGAGGTGATGTTGAAAATGAATGGGAGTCAAGCAGGCAAAGAGAGGTGGGGAACAGCACCGGAGCAGAGAGACCAGCATGTGAAAAGGCCATGAGGTCAGAAAGTGCCTGGCACTTGGAGGAGATGAAAGGGGCCCAGGGGCCCGAGCAGGTCAGTGAGATACTGTAAGTCATGTGTGCACGTGCCCAGCACAGGCTCAGGCATGTATGCAGTGAATGCACCCCCATGGTCCTCTTTCGCGTCCCGGCCTCCTCACGGCAAGGGTGACCAGCAGGGGCCACCCCTCCGAGTGCTGGGGCTTGTGGCAAGAATAGGACAGCTGGTTTTCTATGCCCCGCCCCCCACTCCGGGGGCGGGGGGAAAAGGGGCCAGGAGGGCTCAGGGCTGGGGCTGCAGGTCTGACACCCACTCGGCTCCAGCCTGGGCCTGGCGAGCCTGCAGTAATGCCAAGTGGTGAGGCAGGTGGTGAGGTCAGTGACACGGGGCTGGGGACTGATCTCCCCATTCTGTCTGGGCAGGGTGAGGGCTGCAGGAGGCAGGGCGGGGCTCCTTTGAGCTGCAAGTAAGAAGGGGCCAGGGAAGGATGGAAGCCCCTTCCCACCTCTCCTCTCCAGGCCCGCTCCCCTCTTCCCACTTTCTAATTTCCTACGTTGAAATGTGGACTCACAGAAAGTTACGATAGATCATAGGGTCCCCTGTGCCCTTCCCCGGGCTTCCCCAGTGAAATGCCTTATAAAACTGGTCAACTGCCTTTTCTCTTCTCATTGAAAAAAAAAAATTAGTAGCATTATAGTCACCACAGGTTTACTCATAAGAGCTCTGATCTGGAAACTACCCACATGCCCAGCAACAGGTGGCTAGAGGAACAGATTTCGGGGTGTTTCTCTGGATGGAATACTGCTCAGCAGTGAACAACCACAGAACTTAGAGCAAACAACACAGAGCAGCCTCACTGATACTCCCTTGCGGGAAAGCGGCCACACACACGAGTCCAAGAACAGACCAAACTAATCTAGGGTGACAAAGTCAGGGTAGGTAGGGATGTTGATGAGGAAGGGCCACAAGGGTGGGCTCTAGAGGGTTCTGAGTGTCCCATGCTTTGCTCTGGGCGGTGGTGACACAGGTGTACACAAATAAAATTTCGTCAAACTGTATGCACTTTACTGCCTACAAGGTTTATTTCAGTTTTAAAATAAAAATTTAAAAACCGAATCAAATAAAGAAGCAAAGAGCCAAAGTACAAAGACAACTAGTACAGACACTCTTGCTCCCTGCAACAGGTGTGAAGTTATTAGTATCCTGATATATTTGTGGTCAGCCTTGTTTTTTGTTGGTTTGTGTGTTCAAGGAAATAGGACCTTTCACACGAAGCTGAGACTTGACTTTGCCGTATCTCCCGGGTCCCCGGCCCTCCGCTGGGCTCCAGCCCAGACAGAACCACTGCTCTGGGGCCCCCGCATTCCCTCCAGTCTGTTTTCACACTTGCACACACCTGTCTCCAAAGCCAGGACCGAGTGTTTTTATGCGTTTGTTTACAGAAACGGCCTGGCCCCGAGGGGCTCTGCAGTGAGATCTTCTCCCTCCCCGCGTGTCTCGGAGCCCAGCTCTAGCTCAGGCTTTTTAACTGCTGGGCAGTATCCCATCCAATCAACTGACTACCGCCTACTTATTCGTGTTGTTGATGGACACTGAAGTAGTTTCTGCTTTTTTGCTATTTGACTCACATTCCCGCAAGCCTCCCAGTGCCCTTGTGGGAGTGGTCTCTGGGGCCCCCGTCTCCGAGTGGGCTCCCAGAACCAGCGCTCTCCATCTTCCCACCTGCTGTCTGATGGCCAGGTCATGGTCTCTCTGTCCCCCTCCCCAGGTGGTCAAGGTGGTGGGCAGCAACATCTCCCACAAACTGCGTCTGTCAAGGGTGAAGCCCACGGACGAAGGCACCTACGAGTGCCGTGTCATCGACTTCAGCGACGGCAAGGCCCGGCACCACAAGGTCAAGGCCTACCTTCGGGTGCAGCCCGGAGAGAACTCGGTCCTGCACCTGCCCGAAGCCCCGCCCGCTGCGCCCGCCCCGCCCCCCCCAAAGCCGGGCAAGGAGCTGCGGAAGCGTTCAGTGGACGAGGAGGCTTGCAGCCTCTAGACTGATGCCTACCCGGCCACCCACCCGCCCCGCGCCCCTACAGCTGTACAGAGTGCATGAGGAGCCGCTGGACCGCTGGGGACGGGACTGCCTGGGTCCAGCCGCCTCCCCATCCCCAAGACTGCCTGTGGCCACCACGTCGGCTCTCTGCCCGCCACTCCCTTGCTCAGCATGTAAGCCCTGCCAAACCCTTCCTTTTCAGACCCCTGCGGTGACCTGGCTCGGAGAAGGTGGCCCCGGGCACCAAGGGGACGACCACCCCAAATGCTGGGGCGGGCACCATGCCGAGGCCAGGCTGCCTCTCTGTCACCAGCTTCAGTGGAGTCCAGTGTTTTGCTTTGCTTGCTTGTCCCCCATCCTGTCCCGAGCCGGGGCTTCCCAGCCTTACTCTCCCTCCTTCCCCATCATCCCCCACTTGAACCTGGGGGTGTGGACTGTGACCCCTCCCTGAATTTGGACTGGAATCTTCTGAGTCCTGGCGAAGAACTGGGGCACAGAGCCCCCAGGACAGCCTTGCTCTGGGCCCGTGGCCCGTGAGCAGGGTCACTCACAGGGGTCCTGGGAGGAGAGGGAGACACCCCATTGCCTCCTGGGGGGTTGTTCTTCATGTTCAGCTTCCTTATACATAAGAAACAGCTCCCTGTCCCACCCTCCGCAGAGGTCAGGGGACCAGGAATCTGCTCTTTCACATGGCAAGTCCGAAGGAGGGCCTTTCCCCTCTGACCCAGTGGCCCTATGCAGAGTTTTGCACCAGCAGGACCCCTTCCAGGGTCTTCGAGGCTCTCCCAGGAGCCCCCCTCTGCCAGCTCCCAATGTCCCAGCCCCCTCCTGGGGCCCATGCCATGCCCACCCAAGGGCCTGGGGCTGTTGGGAGCCAAAGGCCCCCCCAGTACCAATCTCCTCACAATTCCCGACTGGGGGACACCCACCCCCTGGTAATTTGTAAATATTTCTATTGGGCCCAACACCCCCTGGGAACTGGCTCAAACCTCTGGCCGCCCCTCAGTGATGGAATTGGGATGTGGGAGAGGCCGAGGGCTCTGCCCAGGGCTGTGTGGGTAACCCTGTACACATGATCCAATCCGTGACTACCAGCCAACCTGAATAAAGTGGTTTAAAGAAACCTCTGGGCGATGTCTTTCTGGGGCATTTGGGTCTGGTGGGGGAGGGGTCAGCCCACACCCAGCCTCCCTCAGCCGCCTCTCCCTCCTGCTCCCTGCCCGCCCCCTGCCCCCAGCACAGAACAAGAGCTGGCTGGGGCACAAAGAGAGGGTGAGGGGAAACCGGCCTTTGTCCAGTTACCCAGTGCTTGAATTGGTCTGAGGTTTTGAGATAGTCACACATACAGAGGAGTGCATAAGACATGTTTACACTGCTTTGTCAATAAATACATTAGAAAGCAAATAAAGGTGGCCCATCACCTACCAAACGCGGCACTCCAGCACATTTTTCATGTCCTTGTTACAGCTTTACTATACCTGTATGTATGTCATCTTAAGCAATATAGTTGAGTTTTGTCTGTCATCTAGAACTCTCTATGCACGGAATCATATCACATCCATCCTTGCATGCACCACTCTGTGAGATTCATCCATGTTGTTGCATGTCTGTAATTTGTCCATTTTTATTACTGCATGAATATCCCACAACTTATTCATTCATTCTATGGTCGACAAGAATTTGTGTTCCCATCTGGGGGCTCAGCAACAGTGCCGAGGGCATTCTCGCCTGTGTCTCCTGGTGTGTGCAAGCATGAGATTCCTGGGGTGTGTCTACTGGGCCAGAGGTTGAGGCACAGCACGTTAGGGATCTCGTTTGCCCCCATCAGGTATGACCAGCACCTTCTTACAGTTGAGGAAACAGCATCAGAGAGGTTAAGTAGCTTGCTCAAGGTCACCCAGTTGTGGAACTCTGCTCTGCAGGATCTGGACCACCCCCCAACCTCCCACCCCACCCATTGAACATCACCACCTCTCCCATCATGCCCTGGGCTTGGATTTCCCTTGGCTCATCCCAGACAAGAGTCCCACCCACCACAGTCCTGCTGAGAATCTGTCTGAGGGTGTGTCCTTCTGGGGCGCTCAGGTGAAACCCTCACAGCCAGCACACCCAGCTGGTCCCTCCTCGGCACCTACGGGAACCACAGCCACCACCTACACTGTCCCTATATCCATAGGGACATCCTCAGGATCTCCAGCAAGCCTCCTCACGTCTCTGAGCCTCAGCTTCTTCTTCTGTAAAATGGGGAGGCTCCCAGGGAGATACGAATCAAAATCATGAAATACCCCTTTGCACACACTAGGATGGCATGAATCAAAAAGACAGATAATAACAAGTGTTGACAAAGATGTGGCCAAACTGGAATCCTCATGCTCTGCTGGTGGGATTATAAAGTGATGCAGCCGTTTGGGAAAACAGTTTGGCAGTTTCTCAGAATGTTAAACATAGAGTTGCTGTATGACCCAGCAATTCCGCTCCTGTGTATACACTCAAGAGAGCTGAAAACCTATGTTCACACAAAAACGGGTGCCTGAATACTCTTAGCAGCATTATGCATAAGAGCCAAAAAGTGGAAACAACCCAAGCACCCATCAACTGACGAATGGGTGGATAGAATGTGGCATATCTAGACGCTGGAATATTATTTGGCAATAAAGAGGAATGCAGTACTGACAATATGCTACATCACAGATGAACCTTGGAAACATTATTCTAAGAGAAAGCAGCCAGACACAAAAGGTCCCATGTTGTATGATGGCATTTATATGAAAAGTCCAGAATAGGAATATCCATAGGGACAGAAAGGAGACTGGTGGTTGCCAGGGCCAGGGGAGAGGAGAGTGGGTGGTGACTGCTAATGGCTATGGGGTTCTTTTGGGGGTGATTGAAATATTCTAAAATTGATTGTGGTGATGGACACACAACTCTGTGGATATCCTAAAAACTGTTGAGTTGTACACTTTACATGGGTGAACTGTATAGTGTGTGAATTATATCTCAATAAATCTGTTGAGAGAAAGGAGGTGCTCCTGACTACAGCACGGTGCCCCTGGGCCCACAACAGGCACACGGGAGGCCCCCAGGAAATTCTGACTCCTATTAATATTGCTGTGCTTTTTATATGGAAGTCAGAGCCAAGTTGTGCCCCTCCCCAGGGCAGCCTGGGGGGCGGGTGTGAAGGGCAGGAGAGAAACATGAGTCCCGGGCGAGGGCAGTGCCTAACAATCATACCTAGTCCCGTCCTAAAGTCTCAGATAAACCTCTGCACACCCCCAGGTTAGTGGCAGGACACGGTCCCCTTCATGCCCCACCCTAAGAATAATAGGGCGGCGGTGGGCTTATTATAAATTTAGATGTCCCAGCCCTCCCTTGGCCTTCAGATTCCTGCCCACATCAATAGCTTGTGCCCCCAGGTGGTTCTATGATGGGGAAAGAGAGCAGACCCCTGGCCAGGGACATCTTCCCATACTCTTGCTCAGCTCTCATACTCGTACATCTCCAGTCCCCAGCTCCCTTGGTCTCCAGGGCCCTGAATTCTGGCCCCAACCCCTCCCACACCCTGGCTGCCTGCCCCCCTCTCAGTGCCCCTCCCAGGGCTCCCCTGCTGACCCTGTCCCAGAGCTTCCCTTTCTCCCTGTGCAGCATGGGGATGGGGTAACTGACAGTAAGGACAAGGCTTCTGTTCCCCCTTCTTGGTCCTAATGTACCCCAGGATTCAGAGTGTGAGGCAGGAATGCCCCCATTTTAGGAGGTGAGAGTGTGTCCACTAAGTTTCAACCCAAGGGCTGGCCCTCCTGGTTCAGGGCAGGACTGACTATATTCCTAGTCCTGACAAGCGCTGGCTATGTGATTAGCTACCGAAGAGGGCCAGGGCCAGTTCCAAAATCATCCCGGCACCTGAATAAGGAATGAGGTTGGGGGCAGGGGATGATAGGGGCCTGGTCCAGGGGGAGAGGGGCAGGGACTCAAGAGCCCCACCAGGGACCCCGGAAATGAGTGTGGGCTGCTGCCCGCCCAGGCCCACACTTCGCCTAAACCCGGGCATCTGAGCCTGGGGAGCTTGTGAGCAACCCAGGTTTTGGGGCTATACCCCTGGAGATTCTGACTCAGCAGTTCCAGAGTGGAGCCCAGAAATCTGTATGTCCGGCAGGATTCTGATGGAGGTGGCCAATGGATGGTAGTTTGAGAAAAACTCTACCATATGATCCTTTAAAGAAATAGACACACATAACTAAAAAATAATACTTTTTATATAAAAAGTGGGTGTTTCACTCAACCACAAGCAACAGGCCTTGCTTCTTACCAGTGCTCCTTTGGGCCGCTAACTGAAGAGCATTCCAGCACATGGGTGCACCACAGTCACCCTAAGGACTCACCTCCTGATGGACAGCTAAGTTATTTCTAGTGATTTGCCATTACAGGCGATGATTCTCCAAATATGGTTCTATGAACTGCTTGGCACACATGAGGTAGTTCAGGTGTGTGGGAAATCCTTCAGCATGGAATCATTAGCACCAGATAGATGAATCTACACTTTCAGTCTGAAACAGTCTAACAAACTGCTCTCCCCAAACAACCTTGACAATCTTAAAAAATTGGGGGAAGAATTAAGGGGACACCGTGAAATTAGCTTTCGGCACACTGAAGCTGCTTTCATTCACCCACACAGGTGAGGGCAGGGCCCAGGAATCTGCATTGCTCGCAAGCTTCCCGGCATGCCCGCTTGTGAGCTGTTGGGATACCATGCGTGCAAAGTAAGTTGTCTGAAAAGACACCCATCGAGCTGAGAACTGTGGTCACTCCTAAGGAGCAGAATAGAAGGGACACACCCCAGGAGGCTAAATATTTGTAAAGGGCAAGTATTACACCTGTAACTTGATATGCATAGAGATATTTTTCAAAAACCAACCAGGAGACAAAAGTAAATATAATGGAGGGAATCCTGGAATGTGCACCGTGTGGGGTCTGAGTGGCCTTAACCAGGTCTCACCTTCCAGGAGTGAGGAGGGTTCTCCACTCTTCCTCCATGCTTCTCTGCCATCCCCTCCCCACTCCCACTTCTTGTTTTGCTTGATTTGGCCCTGATTTAGCTTAGGAATCCACGCCTGTTTGAGGCCACTTGTCTCAGTGAAGGCTTGCCCACTCCTAGCCTTAGCGTGTGAACCTTGATTAATCTAAGCTAGGGGCTCTTTACATGGAGTCCACAGATCACCCCAATCAGGGATCCGTGGATGGTATGCATGGGATTCACAAACTTGAGTGGGGAAAAAAAACCCTCCATCTCTAT